TCACATTCATAAGTAGGGACAGAACCCTCACTGGATCCTTTCCAGAAATGAGCATACAAACAAACAAAAAAAAAAATCAAACTGTTTAGTGTTTATTTCTCCACTCAGTGGACTTAAGAAGATTATACAAAGAGTTTAAAATCACCAAAATGTGTATTTGATAGTAAATCTCTCCAAGCCTCAGTTTACTTGTCTCTCAACTCTGAGGACAAGCATTTTCATTATTCGAGATCTTATGAGAATGAAGTGAAACTCCACAGAGGCAGGTAGGCTTCCCAAAGCATTTCGATAGTCTTAGCTGAACTTCTTCTTTTTTTTTTTTTAAATAGTAGATGTGCTGCCAAAGTGAGCACTGAACTTCATCTTAAAGCTATATGCTTGTGCATTATAGCCTTGTGTGCACTGATATCATTGACCCTTTGCTTGGGCGGGGTATATGTTTGTCCTGTTCCTGAACTTGGTCAGTGGTTGAGATTGAGTGGATGGAGAAGAGGTTAGCCTTAAGTACTCTCAACTCTTTTCCTTTTCCTGGCTGCCAGCAGAGCTGTTCACACTGATTTGCAAATGTCTTTCATGAAGTCAGGTCTCCATCACTGTTGAGAAAGCATCTTGGAGGGGATTTGGAAGAGCTACAGCACCTCTGTAACTTGCTTGAGAAGAAGGGAAGGACTGGTATCTTGTCTACTGAGGTAGCATTTCATGCTGAAAGAAAAAGAAATGCTCTGAAACCAACATAATGGTTTCCAGCCCATATTTGCATTTTCTCATTCATAGTCCCCCAATAATATTTGGTCTTTCTTTTCTTAACATCCTTAAGGGTTTTTTTTTAAGGGTTAATTTTTAATGTGGATTTGTTTGTTTTTTGTTTTATGAAACTTCACTAACAGAATGGATTCTCATGACCATTTTCAATAGTTTGAATTGAGTCTTAACAAAATGGAATTCTCCTTTGACATGTTCTTTGACCACAAGACAGTCTCATTTTTAATAGCTTCTATAGAAATATATAATAATGCCAGTACACATAATGCCATGAACTTAGAACTGGAACAATTTAGAAATAGATTGTAGTAACTTGAAATCTGGTTTGAGAAAATATAATGAGTAACAATAACATGACAACCTACTTTTTGTGGAGTTGGGTGGATTTGAGGTCTCTGTATAACTGACATAGCAATTTCATGTCACTTGAAAAGAACTAGTTTTTTCACACAGTTAGACTTAAAATAATATTTCTGTACCAACAGTTTTTTTTAAATAGAAGTCATGTGTGAGACAAACACCCTGATAAAGGTCCAAAAAGAAGATGGCTGGCTGACTTATCTGAGCCTTTCAGAATTATTTTCTCTCATTGTCCTTTATACTATTTCAGACATTTACTATTCACTTTCTTTTTTTCATTTTTATTAATTTTAATAAACATTTACAGATATTTTGGATTTCCATGCATCTATTGCTGCACTTTTCTCCCTGCCCACACCTCCCCACCAGTTCGCTCCTCTCTTTGAAAAGAAAAAGGGGAAAAAAATTACTTCATTGGTATACAATTCCCCCATCCCCCCACCTTGAGTATTATTCACTTTCTTAATGTTCTTATTTAATATTCTATGATATTACTGAACACCAAGACTTGAAGAAAAGAAAATCCTACAATTTCAGGGCTCCAGGAGTTGATGGCATACCAATTGACATGTTTCAACAAACAGACACTGCCCTGGATGTGCTCACTAAGTCATGCCAAGAAATCTGGAGGACAGTCAGCTGGCCGACTGACTGGTGTTTGTTCCCATTCCAAAGAAAGGTGGCCCAGCAGAGTGCGAAAATTATCGAATAGTATCACATGCAAGCAAGAGTCTGCTGAAAATTATCCAAAAATGTTTAGAACAATATGTCAACAGAGAACTAACTGCCAGATGTGCAGGCTGGATTTAGAGAAGGTTGTGGTACTAGGAATATTATAGTTAATGTTAGATGGATCTTGGCAGAAAGCAGAGAATAGCAGAAGAATGTGTATCTGTGCTTCATTGATTATGCAAAGGCTTTTGACTGTGTGGATCACAACAAGCTGTGGCTGAGAAGAATGGGAATCCCAGAACATTTGATTGTGCTAATGCGAAACCTATACTTGGACCAAGAAGCAGTTATCAGAGTAGAGCAGGGAAACACTGGATGATGATTCACAATCAGGAAGGGGGTCCATCAGGGATGTATTTTGTCTCCATACCTTTTCAATCTGTATGCAGAACAGATCATCCAAGATGCTGGTCTGTACGAGGAGGAATGTGGCATCAGGATTGGTGGAAGAATCATCAACAACCTGCGTTATGCAGATGACACAACCCTGCTTGCTGAAACTGAGGAGGACCTGAAGTGCTTGCTGCAGAAGGTCAAGGACTACAGCCTCCTATATGGATTGAAGGTCAACATCAAGGAAACAAGGATTCTCACCACTGCGCCAATGGGCAGCATCAGTATGGATGGTGAAGAGATTGAGATAGTTAACAGTTTTTGTTTACTTGGTTCCACAGTCAACACTCTTGGTAACAGCAGCCAGGAAATCAGGAGACAAATAACATTGGAAAAGTCAGCTGTGAGGGACCTTTCGAGTACTGAAGAGCAACAATGTCAGGCTGGAGACTTAAAAGTGCACCTGATCCGGGCTATAGTCTTCGCAGTTACGTGCTATGTATCAGAGAGTTGGAACGTGAATAGGGATGATAGAAAGAGAATTGATGCGTTTGAGCTGTGGTGCTGGAGAAGAGTGTTAAATATACCATGGACTGCTAGGAGAACAAACAGGTTTGTCTTGTAGAGGGTGAAGCCAGAATGCTCCTTGGAGTCAAGGATTCTGAAATTTCATCTGACATGCTTGAGGCATGTTGCAAGGAGAGACTGGTCCTTGCAGAGGGACATCATGTTTGGCAGAGCAAGAGAGGAAGATTCTGTGACTGGAGTGGTGGGAATGAGATGGCTAGGTTGACACAGGATAGAATGGCTTTAAGGCCTCTTGATGAGTTGCAAGTGACTCAATGGCACATAACAACAAGAACATATGCCATATTCTTTTTTTTTTACAGTTTGCCAGTTATATATTTATAGAAAGATAATCCCCTGGCTTTAAATAGGTATGTACATAAAATATGAACAAACTTAAAAAAATACAAACCCTTGGATCACAAGGGTGCTGCTGAAGAGTCCCCCGATGCTTCTCCCTCAACTATGAGCAGAGGGCATGAGTCATCTTCATACAAAATTCCTTCTGGCTATTTCTGACTACCCACAAGGGTAAAGATTGGATGAAACCATTCAAACTTCTCACTCTGAACTCTACACGTCCTACAGTTAGGGATACATGCCTTCTTGTTCTTTTAACTAGTACAGGGATAAGGAGGGGGTTCCATTCTGAAATCGGACAGGAAATAAAATACTCATAGTTTAAAAGAGGAAAGAATAATTGTCATCTGCTCTAAAAGCAAAAGACAATATAAAGGCATGTAAACCCCACGGAAATAACCAGTTCTCACACCACTATGGGATATATTGTCCAGTCCAAGACCCAAGTTCTTTGCTCTACCCATTTCCTATTTCTTTGGTATTGTCAGAAGGAAAGGTTTAGTTCCTGGGATGTTGGGGGTGGGGGGAAACGACAGGATAGTGGTTCAGGGACTTCCTAAACGTACTCAGTGAACAGTTTGCACTTAAAATGTTCCCTTTTTTTAAATACTGAAAAATAAACACATCAAATTCCATCCTTTGCTGTACACCATATTCTTTTTAACTTAATGAATTCTAGTCCTTTACCTGAAAGAGTTTAACGAAGCTTACACCTAAAGCTTGTTTAAAGATTAGTCTTTGCCAACTGATAGAAATTAAAAAACCAAACAAAACTTACCCTTGTGATAGGAATCAAGGACCAAACACATTTCCAGATGTTTTCATCCACACAATCCCATCAGGATGTTGGTCATCTAATCACTGTGCCCTCCAGTGGAATAGCAACACATGGTTATTTCACTTTTTTTTTTCCCCAGGTGGGAAATACCTATTTATTCAACAGCTCCACCTCTTTTGTACAGTAGGGAGGGCTGTAAATCTTTAACAACAGTGAAGTAGAATGAGCTGCTCAGTTCTGCGCATCATTGTGGCCACTAGGACCACTCAGAAATAGCCTAGTTTATTGCAGCTGCAATTTCCTAGCACACTTGTCTGTATCAGTGCTACAAAGATTCTGTTTCCTTTGAGATTTTTAAGGCATCTTCACCTGTTGAAGATGAAAGATTGTGATTAAATAATCTGTTTTGACCCAGAATTTTCAATCTTGTATAACTAAGTAACCCCCATTTTGTGTCTTAAACAACTATTTAGCATCCTTTGGAAAACACCTGTCATATAAAAGTTAAAAAAGAGTGCACTGATATGTTTTGTTCTGAATATTAAGTCACTTGTTTTAACATGGAGTTCATCTTGATTTTGAACAAAATCAAAGTGTGTGTGCGCGCATGCGTGTGCACGCCTGTGTGTGTCTATGGGTGGTCCAAATGGTTAACGTGCTTGTCTCCTAACTGAGGGGGCAAATATGGACTGAGTTTCAAGTTCACTCAGAGAACCACCTTAGAAAGTGCTGGTGTTCCACTTCCTGCCCGATCCGCCACTGAAACCCATGTAGGACACAGTCCTCCTAACACACTGAAGTGTTGGTGCTCCACTTCCTGAGAGATCCACCACTGAATCCCCGGCATAGAGTACCACTCACACACTGAAGTGCTCGTGCTCTACTTCCTGCAAGATTTGCCACTGAAACCCCTGCAGACACAGTCCTCCTCACACATAGGCCCACCACAGGTTGGCTTGATGGCAGCTGGTAGCCATTACGCCTATCTGCTTTAAGGCATGAAGTTAGCCATATATCTATTCTCATAGTCATGTTTTATTTTGAATGCCTTTTTGCTGGTCTGTTTCTCTGAAGGTAGTCTAAGATTCCGTTGTTCTTTTCTTTACAGCTGAACCTGGTATCAAGTGTCACACTCTCCAAGTCTGCATCCGAGGCTTCTCCACAGAGCTTACCTCATACTCCAACCACCCCCACCACCCCCATCACTCCTGTCACCCAAGGCCCCTCTGTCATCACCACCACCAGCATGCACACAGTGGGGCCCATCCGCAGGCGGTACTCAGACAAATACAATGTACCCATTTCTTCAGGTAGATACTTTGGATTTGCTTCATGTAGAATTACAATGTTCAGTTCTTTTGGACCAGACTTTCTTTAAAAATGGATAATTAATAGGACATTGATTCTTATTTAGCAGATATTGCACAGAACCAAGAGTTCTATAAGAATGCAGAAGTTAGACCACCATTTACATATGCATCTTTAATTAGGCAGGTAAGTACATTATATCAAAGTCTACATATGTACGCATGGATATGTTATATTGATGAAGTAGATTTAAAACCATTTCATATGCAGACATGCTCAAACCTTTTCTATAAGGTTTTTTAAAACTGCAATATATAACATAATTGCTTTTGATTAAGTATTACAATACGATGTGATTATTAGGAAATTCATTTCACACAACAGTGAAAATGAGCCTGTTTAAAGATGGCAAGTCAATTATCACAAGCTACAGTAATCTCTGATCCCTAGAATTAATCTGAGCTCTAAATAATTACTGAGCTTTAATCAGCTAGTGAAATGTTTTGCATTTCTCTTTGATTCTGCTTTGTGAATGACTAATAAATTAATATTTCTGCACGGAAACAGAAATAAAAACTCAAAACAATTAGATAATTCCATTTTGAGTTTTGCTATTGGACTGTTAAATACAACCATTAATCTTAGATCATTTTGAGAAGGCTTTCTTAGAATTTAGCTCTGAATCACTGTGGTTTTATATTTTTCAGAAACTGTATAATAACATTTCTCCTGATTTGGTCATAAATTTTCTTCTTTGGTTACTTTTTGCTTTACAGGCCATTCTTGAATCTCCAGAAAAGCAGCTAACACTAAATGAAATTTATAACTGGTTCACACGAATGTTTGCTTACTTTCGGCGCAATGCAGCCACATGGAAGGTAGGTTTTCACTTAGGCCTGCTCAGTCTTGGTTCTTGCTATTCACAAAGTAGGATTTGTTATACTGTAAGAAAGAAAGCAAAATAGATAGGTTGGTCTTTCTCTCTCTCTCTCTCTCTGTCTGTGTGTAGATATATAGAGACTCTCTCTCTCTCTCTCAAACATAGGGACATTTCAGTGAGTTAATAACTCCATTGTGGTTGAAATGATCCTTTAGAAGATTCCCCTTACATTGGGCCAGATGGTAAAACTGTCTCTAGTCAGAATTTGTAGGAAAAGAGGATGATACTACAGCCTAGATGTTGATATTTTCCTGAAGCTTAACTAAACTCATTCTTTTAACCTAGCCACCATTTGCAGAAATGTATAATTAACTTGGTTTTAACCACTTGAAACATGGAGAAATGAGGAAATGTGACAAACATTCATTGGTGGAATAAAAGCTGTACAATTGAAGAATTAACACTAGTGTCTGGAAATTACTAAAGGAGAATACAAGGAACTGTTAAATAAATAGGTGATTTTTTTTTTTTTTTCGGTTGAGAGAAGGCCTACCTAGAAAATCGTAAATACCTAGGGGGGAAAGTAACTTCTGAGTGATGCATCATCATTTAGTATCAAACAGTTTTGAATCCATAGTGCCATTTGGACATCCCTTACAACTCTTATGGTCACCTCTCATTCAGTAGTTTATTTCCAGATTCCATTAATATATTTTTCTGTTGTATTAAAGTAATTCTTTACAAGTTGTTGGGGTTTTCCCGCTTTATTTTTAGTTTTAGTTCTTGGAATTTTTGTAATCCTCATGTTCCAGAGAACTCTTGATGACCGAGGGGGTAAGGAGTTGTGTTGCCAACTCAAAATTACTGGATTAGAATCCACCAAGTGCTCTGAGATAGAAAGATGAGCAGACTCCTCTTATGCAAACAAATAGGAGGGTCAGCTATTAGTCAGTTGTGATGCACAACAATGAGAGAAGTTATATTTCAGGCAAAATGGAACCGTTTAGGATATTCTACATGTTTTAAATAGAACAGTGATTTATCATAGGATTCATGTAAAACCCGATTCACTAGAAATAAATGGTTTCCTTGTGAACATCTTCATTTTATATGGGACAGAAAACGTATTTCCTCAAATTCTTGCTAAGTTGGCATTTAAAAAGAAAATTAACTATGATTATAGAATTCATGAAAGGATAAATAGATATTGCTTTGCAAAGTTTTGTTATCTTTACAAAGCTGTATCTATTCATCCTTTCATTTCCATTAAGAGAAAAAGATATGTATATAAAACTTTGAATACATATGAGGTAAGATAAGATATAGAGCTTCTTTAGTTAAGAAAACATCAGAGTATAAACATAAAACAACACAGATATGTTCTTTTTTTCCATTCTTTTATTTTATTTTTAATAATTTTAATAATTTTAATGAACATTTACAGAGAATTTGGATTTCCATTCATTGCTGCACTTAGATACGTTCTTTAAAATGCTTTTTATTAATATACATGATCAAATTTTTAAATATGTTGCTTAAACTGAAGTTTTCAGACATAAGTTTTTCAAACTGAAGGTAAAAGTGTCTCTCTCTCACATACATACGCTGTCTTTTGCTCGCTCTCACACCCACACACACATTCTCATACACACACCCTGCATGCCCTTACACAGATGCTCACTCTTACACATACTGTATCTCAGACACATACTCTCTCTTTCACTCACACAGTCTGTCTCACAAATGCTCTCTCTCACACACACATGCTCAGTCTCACATGTACATGCTCTCACGTGCTTTCTCTCATAGTTACACACATGTGCTCTCACACATGCTCTCATACACACACATGCTCTCTCACACACACACACTCTTTCTGTCACATAATTAAAATGTTAGATGAAGGCCTTAATGACTCATGAATATTCATAATTTTCTCTCCATTTTCTTATTTATATTGTGACCATAGGCAAAAGATGATATGTCCAGTTAAAAGTTCTGACTAAGATGAGCTTAATCATCTTTTGAGAGAGTTCTAAATTGCTTTATGCTTAGATGTGCAATCTTGGCAAACCTAGCACAGGCAAACTTTCAGAAACTTTTTTTTTATTTCTTCAGAAGTAGCTTCTGAAGACCATTTACTCCTGTACATTTTGATACTCTGGTGAATTTTTTTTAAATTGGATAATAATTAGGATGAGGAGAAGTGTTGTTTATTTCCCAATTATACATCCAGTATGTTTGTGTAAATATATTGTCTGAATTTCTTAAGGAGAATTGGGTAGGTGTGTTTATTTTAACCTTGCCATAGTTGTAGGAGATAATTTATGCCTTTGTGCAATATAAACAGAATGTGCTCATTTAAAGACCAGGTAACAGGTGTGCAGAGATTTTTCCTGCCAACTACACGTGCTTTCAGTGCCTGTCATTTAGAGGGGTTGATTCAGGTTTAAGTAGTCATTGTGTTTTGTTTTTAAGAAAACCGGTCAAACCTTCTTCATTAAGGGGCATCCCTTGATTGTCACAGCATCATTTTTAACCTCCACCAATTATGCTGACTTAGCTTAAACACTTTGGGAATTTATCCTGTATGTTTTCCTTTTGAACAGTCGTTCGTATCAGGTAGTAAAAGATCTCAGTATTTTCTGTGTTCCCTGAGTTAGAGAACAAAAAAAACCCCTCAATCCCAATTTTCAGGTTGAATCCTCATCTGAAGTCACTAAGTATAAGAAAGACCTTTCAGAGTATCAAGATTGACCACCTCTAAGGATAGCTTAGTGAGGGAACATTATAAGTAGTGGAAGTGAAGCACTGTAGTAACAGCATTATTGAAATCAAAGGAAAGCTTATCAAAATGTGCATATCTTTTTCATGCCCAAATTTAATTACCTATATATTCATTATAACAAAAGAATTATTAGGCACAAGTCTATTTAGAATACTTTAATTTCCTGTTTTCAGTCTTTGTTAGTAAGATCATCCAAGAGAACTAAGGAAATGAAGCTGTATTGCTGTACCTAAGAAGGACTGTGAATTCTTCTGCACCTTGAAAGGAAGACGAGATTTAAAAGTTCCTTACCTTTGAGTTGAGATCTTCCTTTCTGATAGATTGTTGATACCAAAGCTTAGGAATGCCCAGAAATGACTTTTAACTTTAAAAGAAGAATGTGTTTGTAGAACCATCAGCTTTAAGAATTTCTCTTCACCTGTGAGAGTTCTACCTGTGTCTTTGACATTTACTCAATTTAGGTAGTTAACAAGTAGTAAGGACCAACTTTGGTAACACATTCAGGGAGCTAAAAACATAGCGATGATAGATACCAATCTACTTGGGGTCACTCACTCCCTGACCCTGTCAGTTATAAACACAAGACAACAATCTAATGGTAAAAAAAAAAAATTAAATTCTTCTGATTTTGAAGTCATTTTTACAGTAGTTTTGAATTTGTAGTGTTTTGGGCTTGTGTGTACATTAAACATTTTCTCCTTTTCATTATGACCAGAGTACAGACTGAAATGCTAAAAAGTTCAGTTCATTATTTTAATTTTTAAAGTTTTTTTTTTTTGGAAAAGACACCCTTACCTATGAGAAGGTCATCCACAAGGGAGGTCAATGCTGCTTTGGGGAATGGTGTAACAAATGTGGACTGTTAGGCTGCATTTACTACTGTTTTTGGAGTCTTTTCTTATAGAAAATATAATGTTTTCTCTTTTATACTTGCTGCAGAATGCAGTGCGTCATAATCTTAGCCTTCACAAGTGTTTTGTGCGAGTAGAAAACGTTAAAGGGGCAGTATGGACAGTGGATGAAGTAGAATTCCAAAAACGAAGGCCACAAAAGATCAGTGGGTACGTCCACCATGTTTGAACTTCTTAGCCTAGCTTGGATTGTGCTAACAAGTATAATGTAGAGGCTTTTGGCTGCCAGATGGTATTAGACCAAAGAACTGGTTTCACGTTGTCTGAGTTAAGGGAACAAAAAAGCATTTCATTCCTCCTGTTTTGTATGCCTACCAGTTCCCCTGCCCTGCTTGCTGGTCTTTGTTGCATCACATGCTAGTAGCTTTTAGGTGGCAATGCATATTAACCCTCACAAACCATTTGCTTATGCTTATTGCATTTTATTTTCTTTTTCCTGTTCCCTGTATTGGATGTCTGTTCTGCCCCAAATCCTGTCTCCTTTTGTTGCCACTTCATCTCCTTTGCTGCTGCTCCTATCCCAGGGTGCCATTCGCACCAACCTCTCACTGCATAAGTGCTTTATCAGAGTAGAGGATGAGTTTGGGTCCTTTTGGACAGTTGATGATGAAGAGTTTAAACGTGGCCGCCATATTCAACGAGGCCGTCCTCGCAAATACTGCCCTGATGAAAACTTTGACGAGCTTGTTTCACAGTAAGCGCCTTTACTTGCTTTTGTTTTTTTTTTCTGCTGTTGCTTTGGCTTTGCATGGTTGACTCATCCCATGTAGTTTTGCATTTCACCATGTAGCAGTGACACGGCTTTTTGCAATGAAACTAAAATTGTGTGATTTGTACATGTAATTCTCTTCCTTTTTCTTTGGAACGTCAGTGCCTTGAATAATGCTTTTTTGAGGTATTTAATGCAAGTAAATGTTGGTTGTGTTGCAGTTCAGCAGCTTATTGGGGCCCCAAAACTAAACATTTTTGCATGACCTGTAATTCCTCTAAGTGAAAAAGGAAACTTTGTCTCAAGTTAGAATGCATTGAATGAGGTTAATTTCTTACTTGCTTACTCAGCATAATAGAATGTAATGAAATGAAATGAATGCTTAAAATGCTTCAACCATAAGAAAGAAATTAATAATGGTGTTTTACTCTTCCTTTAAAGGCCACCAGTAAGTGGAGGTAATTTCCTCCTGTAAGTCACACCTTTCCTTCCGAGTCTCCTCTATGGTTCTTTAATAATGATTTTAAAAGAAGACAAGACACTGTCTAAACTTGTAAATCAGTTAATGGAGAAAGCATCAAGTATTCCCCACACCCTTCTGTACTGGGTTCTGCCAAAGGATTGAAATCCATCTTTCTGTATTAGCTAAGAATGTCCCTTCTCTTAGCCATCAGTGTGCCTTGGGAGTCTTCCTCCCAAGTCACCTGCTATTGCTGGAAGCCACCAACTTTTCTGGAGCTGGAATCAAAGATTCTGTAGAGCTTAGATCTTCCAGCTTGCTCCCAGGAAGCCCTGTGTGCAGCTCACAAATACCCACCCAGCAAAAGTGCCCCTGTCTGCCTCTTCTCTCTTTGTATCAGGGTAACACTAAAACTGTGTGGGATACAAAATTAGTGCCCCAGACTATTACTACCGAGTTTCCTGTAGTGGCAAGGTCTGTTTCCAGCAGTGGCCACAGAGACCAGACCTATAATGCAGTGCCAGAGGAATAAAGCCTTACTTCCCTTTGGCTTACTCACGGGGAAAATTTCTCATATGGAAGAAGGATACCAGCAAGCTTGAAAGAAAACTTAACTAACGGCTCAGAAGTTGCTTACATTTAACTTTGCGTTTTTATCTTTTTCTTATACAGTAACCCTTCCCTTATTAAAAACATGCAGAGCAGCCACGCCTACTGCACACCTCTCAGTGCCGCTTTACAGGTAAGATTAACAGCTGTCCCGAGTTTGCAACAGAGGCACATGTCTTCCCCCACTCATTTCAAAATATATTAGCCTCGCTCTAATTAGATATTAAATTTTAATTCCGTTAAACTTTTTTCTTAAGTGCACAAAGCATCGTACTCCCTGGAGGCAAACACATTGGGCTGCTTCAGCATTAGCAAGATGCTTAGCATTTTGAATATTGTGGCAAAAAAATTAAAAGTTCACTTATTAATATTTATCAGCAGTATCATAATTTCCATCCTCTTATTTCAGAATTTCACTTGAGGCAAAAATACCACAAGTGTAATTACTCTAGCACAGCTATTAATGTGCTGGATGATAGGCCACTATGTCACATGACCTTCTATTGTTCACAGGTTTAAAGAGAAAGCAGAGCTTTTTCTTTCTTTTCATGCAGAGTATGTTTTTGCATCTTCTCTTTGTCCAGTGTACCTGAGTTTGGCTCACTTTGTAAAAGTAAACTATTTTTTGTTTAATAGAGGTGTTAGAGAGCAAGCTTTTAGGTTTTCAGATGATTGCTCAAGATTACATGAAAAGCATACAGAAAGTTTGCTTCCTCCTGACACACCACATACTTGTCACATAAACTGTTAGTGAAGGATGAAGACTCCAGGATAGGGTAAGAGTGGACTGGCTTCCCAGCTAGGAGTTACCAGGGCAGTCCTGGTGTCTTGCATACCTCCAGTTTTGCACTTACTCGAGAAAAATCTAGAATTCTTCAGGATCACTTCACTCAAGTCCCTCTCTAGAGTTTTAGCAGTTTGATTCCTATTTGTTCTAGAAGATAGGCCAAGGAACTCTTTGTGACTTCTGAATGGGATATTCTAGGAACTCTTTGTAACTTGTGAATGGCATATTCTAGGTCTAAGTGACATAAACTGTTGGTTATGTGCTCAGCTATGTGCCCAAAGCATAGCACTAGGTGCCCACACAGATGCTTTAGAAGATGGCCTGGTGGCCACACCTGGGAGATCCCATAGAGCAGTTCTGCTCTGCACATAGCAACCAAAACCATCATGTATTCTAAATAGGGCATTTGTAATTCCATGGCATGCACTCTCCATGGAGCAATTGTTGTTGATTGCCTTTGAGTCGGGCATGACTCATAGCAACCCTAAGAACAAAAGGCTTCAAGCCCCTCTACAACTATTGTATCAAAGTTCATAGAGTTTCTGGAGGCATGTTGTTTAGGAAGTGGAAGCCACTTCTGCTTAACTATTAAAATGGTTTGTAGCCTTTTAAAGAACCACAAAACATGAACAAATTTAGAACATATCCACAGTATTGAAACTTCATGGATAGCGTACTGGGTTGAAGCATCAAATGACAGGGAAAAAAACACCTTTGAGGGAGAAGATGAGAAAAAAAAAAGATTGGGAGAGCCTGCTGATGGGAAATGGGTGGGCTGAGATCAGAGGATGTCTTGTCCCACCTTGCTGAGCACCTGCTCAGGGACCTACAGAGTCCTTCCTTGCTTAACTCTGCCAAGACCTCAGCTCCATGCAGCATAGACACTCTTTAAATGCAGTTATAGTTCTGGGAAAATTCATGTAACTTACCATTTCAGTAAGTATTGATTTGTTTTTAGCCTGAAGCAAAACTAATCAAAGGATCAACTTTTTGCCTTTTTAAAAAAATTACTGTGGATTATGTAGTAACTTTAGAAAAGCAAACAAAAGTGAGCTTAGATGCTGTCACTGTAATACTACTAGTTAGTAATTTATTTTTCCCTGAGTCTTATGAAGTGTGAGTTTAACGGCCACCCTATCTGGAATAGTATTGAGATTACAAGCACATTTTACATTCATGAGGCAGAAAAGGAGAAAAAATGATCCTGTGTCCTCTGATTGTCTTAGTTACATGACTAATTTCAGTTAGTGAGTTTTATTATCTCTTAATTTGTTTTTGGTGTTTTCTCTCTTCTTTATTCATTTCCATGGAGAGCCCAAAATCTAGCAATTTCCCCAAGAACATTTTATGACAGTAAAAAAAAAAATATCAGTCCCTAATCTTGAAGTGACAATTCCTCCCTCTCCCCTTTTGAGTTTGGACCCTTGATCAGGGGGCGGTGTAAGATAGTTTGCTTTTGTACAAATTAAGTAAAGATTCTACTGGCAGGCTGTCCTTTTTCACAGGCATCCATTTCCATTTTTCAGGGCAAGTAAAAAAATAGTGGAACAATCTCTTTAAAAAAAGACTAGAGGAACATAACGGATGACATACAATGTATAAAATAAGACAGCAGAATCCACTACAGAAATAAAACATAGGACTTGGGACAGATTGCATTGTGCTCTGAAGAAGTGAATTAACTAGGGATAACAGTAAAGCATCTATTTATAGACTGCCTTCCTGGAGGATATTGGCGTGATTGGTGCTCCAGGAACAGCAGGACTCAGCACCATCACTTAAGCACCTTTTTTTCAGGTGGGCATGACCAGGGGCCATTTAATAGGATGTCTTCTGCTGTGCATGTTGTTGTTATGTGCCATCAAGTTACCTGCGACTCAAAGCGACCCTATGTGCATTTAGCTCTGAACACTGCCCTATCCTGAGCCAATCTCATCATCTCCAACAGACATGATACCATTGCTCCAGTCATTGAGTCAATCTGTCTCATCCTGTGTCTTCCTCTCCTGTGCTGTTCCTCTATCCTTCCAAGCGTGATATACCTCTCCAAAGATTGGTCCCTCCTGGCCACATGCCCAAAGTATATAAGATGGAGCCTCAAAGTCCTTGCCTCAAGGGAGTAGCCTGCTTTCACCCTTTCCAGGAGACCTGTTTGTTCTTCTGGCAGTCCATGGTATGTTCAATACTCTTTTCCAGCACCACAACTCTAAGGTATCAATCCTTCTTCTGTCATCTTCACTTATTGTCCAGGTCTCAGTGCATAGCAGGTAATTTCAAAGACCATGGCTTGGATCAGTTGCACCTTAGTCTCCAGACTGATGTCATTATTCTTTAGTATTCTAGAGAACTCCCTGACAGCAGACTTTTCTAATATAATTCATCTTTTAAATTTCTGGCTGCTGGTGCCAAGAGTGCTGACTGTGGAAACAAGCAAGCTGAAGTTATTGACAATCTCAATCTCTTCTCCGTCCATCATGAAGCTACCAATTGGCCCAGGGATGAGAATCTTTGTTTTCTTGATGTGGAGCTTCAAGTTCATATTGAAGACTACAGTCCTTGACCTTCTGCTGCAAGTGCTTCAGGTCCTCTTCAGTTTCAGCAAACAAGGTTGTGTCATCTGCATAACGCAGGTTGTTGATGAATCTTCCTTTCATCCTGATGCCACATTCCTACTCATAAACTCCAGCCTCCCGAATGATCTATTCCGCATATAGATTGAAAACGGTCCTGCTGTGCAGAGGACCATTTATGTAATGAAAGCCATTACCAAAATTGTTAATCCAGCTGCTTCTAAGTGAACATCAGCTGACAAAAAGGAAGGGGGAGCAGAAGACAAAACACCAAACATTTTATTAGGCGTATGCAGTTGACGAGAAGCTGGAATTGACTGGCAGCTGATTTCTGGTTATTAATATAAGACCAAAGAATCAGACTTGAAAACAGAAAGCATGATCTGCTTTTTCTTTTTTTTTTTAAATTTTTATTGTATTATTTTTATGTGTATTGTCAAATCAGATCTGATTGGTACAGGAGGAGATTGCCCCCTCCTTCTCCAGCAGGGCATCTGGTGGATTTGAACCGTGTACCTCTGGGATTGCAGAGCAGCGTCTTGGATCTGCTTTTTCTTAGTTTACAGTTTAGAACTAAGAAGCCAAAACGATTGGCATGAGTCTTTTTAAACTCATGGTAGCCCGGCGTAGAACTTCTCCCCAGCCTTTTCCTTATTTTCAGTCTCTACAGATCAATGTGGATTCTTCCTTGTTATTGTTGCTGTGTGTGCTTGGAATCTATTCCCTCCAGCTGGCTTTCAGAGGCTGTACATCCCATGGGAGGGGATCCATCTTTTCCTGGAGAGCAACTGGTGAATTTGAACCACACCTGCCTTTTGATTGACATCACAACTCCTTACCACTTAGCCACCAGAGTTCCCTGGGGGCTTGCCTCCTAGAGTCATTTCTTCACTGACTGGAGAGCCATGGGTTGTATTTTGAGAATCTGTAGCTATAAGAAGTAATTTTGACCGAGAAAGAACACTTTGACAACCAAGGGAAGCAGTCATTCAAGAAAGGTAGGCCGTCACCAGTTCACCCTGGTGTGGCTGCTTTACCTGCAGGTGAAATTCACTTTGTAGCTTTCAATTAGCAATCAAGCATGTTTAGAGGGATACATTTTTAAACTTATTCCATTTTTGTCATTACTTCTCAAGGTTTTTGTTGTTGAGCTCCCATCTTGCTTTTGACTTAGAGATAGTTGCATTTCTGCCCACGTTCTAACTCTGTAACAGTAAAATGATCTGGTGGGAGGTGACCTCTTTATACTGTTCCAGGGGTGGAGGCATGGATGATCATCCTAGAGGAGCTTCCATCACAAGAAGGGTGTGATCACTGTACTTTCTGACATACAAGCAGTTAAGGAGCTTGTCCAGCTGCAATTTACAAAGAAAAGAATTCTGGCATCTGCTTCCATTCCTTGCTCTGCGAAAATAGAGACATAATAAGGTTTGACTGCAATTAGAAAATACTGGGGGGAGCACTTAATGCATATTATTTAACAAATTGGGAAGGTAATGGATGCTCATTAGAATCAGAATTGCTGTTCATCAAAATTACTACTTTTAGAAATTAAATTTTTCTCCCACTTTTTAAAATAAAGTCAGTATACAAATTCACAAAGGGAGGAAAGGTAGACCAGGGAGGGGCCTGACTTAGAAATAGTGCATGACCCAGTGTAGTGTAGGCGACTCTTCGTAGGTCTTGCAACACAGAGCTTGTATCTGGAAGGCATCCTGGCTTCAGATTGTGCTGTGAGTGAGTCTGTAGCTGCTGTGAGGAGGAGGATCCTCCAGCCTAGCTTTGCCACCTTTCTGTCTTAATTTTTGGCTCTTATTTTTTTCTTCAGAGCCAGGGTTTCTGAAATATGTTAGGCTCTTGTATGACTGGCCAACTGAAGTCGCCACTCCAGATTGTCTTGTGATTGCACATTTTCTCATTAGGGTAGAAAACCAGGCAGAGTGTAGTCTGCAAAAGGACAGACAGTTTTGATGAATCTTGGACTAATTACAGTTTCCAGTTTTTGAAAGTCTGTCCTCTTTAATAAAATAGAAAGACACTGGGTCATAATTGCTACCCAAATGAAACAAATATGTCTCTTTGAAGCTAGTGGTGTATGTGTTTTGTGCATTTCAGAGTAGATGGGGATTTATTCATGCACAGTCGATCAGGAATGAAAACACTCCACCATAGAACCCTATTTTGCCTTCCCACACCATTTTCAGAGACTTTGTCACCCTTCATATGGATATACTGAAAGACAAAAAGAAATAAGGTTTAGACTTTCTTTTTTTGTCAAGGTGGGTTTTTTCCCATCTTTAGTCCTGAAATTCCAGGAGATTGGTCTCACCTGAAATACTGCATGTCAATCTACCTTCCACCAGTTATCTCAGACTACACTAAACAGATTCAAAACCTATGAAAACGGAAATGAGGAAGGAAAGATAAAACTTAATTCTGATTCTATAATCACTTCTTTTTCTATAGGATCTAAGAGGTAAATGTTTATGGAAGTTCTCATAAGTTTGAGGTGGGCAGCCAAAATAATTTGATCAAATCTCTAATATCCAATAGTAGAGTCATCAAAATGGATAAAGAAATGAAAATCCCATTATATTTCACTATGATCTGGAAATATTCGGTTCCTCTTGGAAAAAAAGACAGCAGACACCAACTTCTTATTAGATAAGCTTCTTCTAAGCCATGTGACTCCCCAGCAAGGACACATTACAACCTTCCTCATTTTAATGCCTTGATTTCCTCAGCCAGCTCTTCGCAGCCAAGCTTGGGAACCAGTACAGCAAGCTTGCTCTTAATGCTAAGTCTTGTACAGTCAGTGCACACTTGTATATGCCACACTACCAACTAGACCTGGAAAATAGTGTATTTACCATGAAGAGTAACTTTGCTGTCTATGCTTACTTAATGTGTGTCTTCATAAATTTTCTTTTGATCGATGGCAGGCTTCAATGGCTGAGAATAGTATACCTCTATACACTACTTCTTCCATGGGAAATCCCACTCTGGGCAACTTAGCCAGTGCCATCCGGGAAGAGCTGAACGGCGCAGTGGAGCATACCAACAGCAACGAGAGTGATAGCAGTCCGGGCCGATCCCCTATGCAAGCCATGTGAGTGTACTGTCCCAAAGAACTCTGCTTCTGGACCCACTCTGTTTGATGTGCACACAAGGCCTTTGCTGGCAGTTTTTACACCTTTTTGGAAAATTTCTGATTTACTACAGCCAGGTAGAAGTTGTGCTCCTGGAAATGAGTACAAAAGAACTATTTACTAAGTTTCCCTGTAAAAGCCACATACACATCAATCAGATGGGAAATGTGTTTACATTCTCTCCCTTGCATCTCAGCCCATCCTTTTTACTTCTAAAATTAGTTTACATTTCTGTGAGAAAGTCTTCATTTGTTTCAACTCTGAGGCTTCCTGAGCTGCCCAGGAGGAGAGGAAGCTTGTTTACTTGGTTGGGTTGTGGGTTAAGCTTCGTTGGTAATGTGGCGCTGCAGCATTATTACCAAGCATTAATGATGGCACAAAAGAAAGGCAGCGTGATTTATAGATTGCTCTTAAAATATCAAAAGGAAAATTAATAGGAGCATTATAGCAGCAGACGGCAGGATAATGAGCACACATATAACTGAATGAAGGGTCTGGCTACGGCTGCCCAAACTGAATGTGAATGGTCTGGTGCTGCACATTTAAGGAAAGGGCAGTGACTAGAATCCTCCCACAAGTGAATGATGAATGGGAACCAGTGTGGATGCAAGCAACCCCATTCTTCCCAGGAAAAGAGAAAAGGAGGGGCATTATCTATCTCAAATGACTGGATTTGCAGAGCACACTGTGGAATGACATAGCCCGCCTATTTGGACATTTCCTTGAAACTCTTGCCCACTTGTAGGGAATAAACCAATTATGTGTTTATAATATTGGCAGCTCCTCCAACAAGTCCCATATCTACATGTTTTTTCCAAGTTACTGACCAGTATCTTCTTTTTAGATAATTTGAGGAATAGGAATGGAAAATATGACCTGTAGCAATTAGAAACAGAAGGAATTGGCATCTAATGACAACCACCACCAGAAATAATGTCTCTTCCAACATAAATTGGAGGACTTGAGGGATCTGGAATTTTATTTTCTAGCATTTGAAATTCATGCCCAAAGTGCTTTGAAAAGGATTTTTAAAGATAGAAATAATTTTTATTTTAGATGAGCAATCCCTCAGGATTTACTTCACATTTTAAGAATGTGTTTATCTTTTACACTGATGCTACTCTCTTTCATAATTTCTAATGCAACCTGGTGTTCCTGACTTTATTGTTTTAACACTCGCATTCATCTTTATATCATTGTGAGGGCAGAAGTATTTACTCAGATACTGAGGAAGTTCAAAGCAAATATAAATTGGCATATAAGCTACTTGAAGAAATACTCATTAGAGCAAAATATCTGAAATTATTGAATGGAAGAGATAATATTTCTCATAACCTGTAAGAACTCAGAGGTTTAGTTGATGTATAGTCCTATCCTTTAGTCCAGAAAATCATTTAAATAGAAAAAAAGATGTTAGGATACAAAGCTTGCAGACAACAGTTTTAGAGTAATGCTAATTCTGCAGTATAAAATAAAGCCAGTCTGAATTAGTTGTTAACAATTTTTAATTAACCCCAATAATAAAGAAAAATATCCAGGAGCACTCATCGGACTTATTACTAAAACATTGATTTCTGCTGCTTTCTTTTTTCTGTGGAAACCCTATATGAAGATGTCAGAATGGCAGACAGTATGTTTCTCAAATCTCGCAAGTTTACTGTGTTTGCAGAATGTAATTATGTGTTAATAGCAGATCTCCTATGCCTGCTATCAGGATCAGAAACTGTTACTAACCCCATACTTCCATTAAGCAAATACTGTAATGACCTGGTTTTCATTCTTGTTCAATATATATTACCCTTCTATGATGTATTTTTTTTTTCTTTTTAACTGTTTCAGTCTATTGGAATAAATCAAGCCTTAAACTTTATGGCTAGGTTTAAAGGACCTTGTTAGTAAAGCAGGCCAGCTAATATATGGTGTTGAACCAGAACTCTTAGTTCTTAGGCTTTTTTGTGATACTTAAATACCACTACATTTCAGTTTCTCTTTGGAAACAGTAGAAAGTAGTCGCATAATTATGGCTCTGAGGCATTTGATCCTGATAGGAACTAAAGGAGCTACAAAACAAAATACTCCATGCTGTGTGCACCCCCCAGAACACAATGCCTTTAAACACCAGTCAGCTTTATTTAAAAACTTGTGTTCCCAGCGTGGGTAAACAAAGGAATTACTCAGATGTAAGGAGAAGGGCAAGTATGGTTTCACAGAATTATTCTTTGGCAGCCCTTTCGGAAGTAGAAGCTAAAGAGAAAGAAGGGGCTGGTGGTCCGCAGTGTCTCAGAGCCTCAGTGGGAGTGCATGAAGCATTGTTCCTCACATACTTTGCATCTTCTATGAAATTTTTTGGCATGGAAATCCTTGTTCTTGTATTCATGAAGCACTCACTTCATGCCTGTACAACCTTTGCCCTGTTCTGGGGCAAGGGTGTGTATGTGTGGGGTCAATTGAAAGTTAGATTTCAGTTTTTCTGGAGTTTTCCAAAGCTTTAGTACCTAACTTGGTTGTATTGTAGGATCTAGTCACCTCATGTTTCAGATGCCTCAGTTTTCATCAAGTACTAGATCAAGCCAACAGGTGTTACAGAGCATAACTTGTATCCTTCACCTAGTAAGCCATTTTAATGAATTTTATCTACAAGTTTAAGAGGAAAAACAAAATATTCTTTAGTATTGTGTACTATATTTTATCAGGAACTTTCTAGAGATTGGCAGAACTTAAGTAAGACTACTCAATTTCTTGTAGTATTCCCCCAGCTCTAGTCTTAATCCATCAAATTCAGGTTTGTTAACCTAAAAAGAATTATGTCTTATAGTTACCAAGAAATCAGAGTAGCAAAGTGTTAGCAGACTACATCTTAAATGCAGTATATGGAGACAAAATCCTATCCAATGACCATCAATAATAGAATGCTGTTAATAATAGAATAGTTTTGAAATAGTTCTCATTCTCAGTGTGAAAATCTGAATGGGAAACACACATTTACTCTTTTCAGTAATCCAGAAAATTAAATTTAAATCAACCTGAGTTTAGGTTAACATCTCTTAACAGTCAAACATTTTACAGTATTTTGTGTTAATAAAGGTGAATCTAAATTGATAATGCCCTTTGTGAATTAATAGCACAGTGGATCCTAACAACCATGAAGATGTTTTGGCCTTTGCTGAAATAATTCCACTTTAAGAAATTTGTCCAAGGAAGGTTAATCAATAGAAGAAAAAAGATTAATGGGTATAAACAGCCCCTGTATCACATTATTAACAAGGCGAGTGCGGTGACCACCACAGAATACTGAGGGACAAGCACAGTGGCTGCAGCCTGGGCTCAGGCACAGCAGTACTGGGTAGAGTTAGGGCTGGCTTGTGTTACACTGTTGTGCATAAGGTTGCTTTGAGGCAGAGCAGAATCAGTGGTACCTGACAACAACAACTTAAATCAATGCGTTGGAATGTCATGTAACCATAAAAATTTTCATTGTGAGGTTGTTATATGAAATAGTGACTGCAGTAGCTGACACCATTCCTGCTGTGCTCACAGTGTATAAGAACATGACTCCAGATTGAAGGGGCTGGGCGGAAAGAAACCAGCCCTTGACTGGAGTTGCCGCAATGATTTGGTTTTGCCTTCTTTGAACAGTAATCAGTATACCTAGTTCTCTGAAGAAGAGAAGTGTCTACTGTGGCTGGCTTCATAACAGGCAGCGTGTGTTGAGGAGAGCCTACCTTTGCCTTAATGCTCTGCTGAAGTTTAAACTAGGAGTCACAGATGATGTAGCCAGGCCTAGGCCTTACTATAAAAACCTAGATCACCTGGGCTGTTAAAACTCCAAAGCAGTTAAATGGAGAACCACATGTAGATGCATGGGATGCAACTTGCCTTATTCCATTTTGCAAATTTTTTTTAAAGGGATATGAACATGATTTTCTTTTCCCCCCAGAAAAGCTATTTTTCCTAATAGCTATCATCCAAACTCTCTGTAAACTGGTAATCTTAATCAGTTGGGTTTCTGAAGGCTCCATCTTCTAGGGCCTTGCAAAGCTCTCCTCTGAAATTGCTCAAGTGACCTTTGAAGTTTTCATACAGTACCATTTAGGAAGCCAGTCATCCCAAGTCCTACTCTTATTACTAATTCTGATGGTGCCTATTAAAAAACCCTTACCTCCTTTTTGCAGCCTGTCCCGGTGATGTTATTTTTCCCTTTTAGTTTTGAAAGTGAGTAGTTCTTTTACATATCAAAAGCCTTGCGACAAAAAGTAATTTGTATTTGCAAAGGACTGGTTGTAAATACGATTTACGAACAACCTTTCTCAATTGTTATCTGAGCAGGTTTGTGTGATCGTCACATCCCCTCCCTATGAACCATGTGCTGATCCATAATGAGCAGGCTGGCACATCTCATCACAGCCCCACACAGCCAGGCGGCCACTGCCAACCGGGCCTCATGTTTGGCCATGTTTACAGCTGTCAGCGTTATTATTCTGATTGGGCTCTACTTTCTTATCGTATTGTTGTGTAGAGCGTGCCTTTTCCTTTCAGTTTGTGTTTTCTGGCAGGGCTTTTCTTGCCTTATTGACAGTTTGTAAAAATATGCATTAATTTGGAGTTTCAAGCATGTATCATGGTGTCTCTTTGCTGTGTTTGCTTGAAGTTGATTAATGATAGAACCTCGCTTGGGGTCGTCCTCTGGAGAGTTCTTTGACATGTTCTGCATGTTAACTAGCTAAGCAGAACACACAACAAGCCATGATTAGCCCAGCCTCCTTTACCCAGTGGCCCCCACAACCACTATTGCAGCCCTGATTCTTGTTTGAAGGTTTGGATCTGTCCACCGCAAATGACAAGTGTGAAGCTTGTTAGAACTATGGAGCCAGACCTAGGCATTTCACCTGCACAGTCAGCTGCCTATAATACCTATATGTGGGAGAGGCCCACTCTGACCAGAGGTTTGGCCTTCTGAAGATGTTAAGTTCTTTGGCAGCAGTGCTGCACAGTAGAACTTTCTGCAGGGATACTGTCTTTGTCCTCTCCAGGACATTAGCCACTAATCATATGTGGTCCTTAGTTAACTGAAATGTGGCTGGTGTGACTGAGGAGCTTCTTCAAAAATTGTAATTAAGGTTAAGCTAAGCGGCTGGGTGGGGCGGGTGACTGTAGCATTGGGCACTGTGCTGTCGGCTGTCCAGCCAAGCTTGCTTTGTGCCAGGCCATTCTGTTCTGACCTTTGGCTTGCTTTTCCAGGCATCCTGTACATGTCAAAGAAGAGCCACTGGATCCAGAGGAAGCTGAAGGGCCTCTATCCTTAGTGACAACAGCCAACCATAGTCCAGATTTTGACAATGACAGAGATTATGAAGACGAGCCAGTAAATGAGGACATGGAGTGAAGGCCTGGATGGGCTGACCACCGAGAATTAAGATTGACAAACACAAAAACTGGCAAAAGTTAACAGTGAAATAATTCTCCATTTATTGTACAGTCGGAGGGTTTTCACTACATTTTGACAACTCTGCAATGTGTTAACTCTTAGTGCCATCAAGAATCCCATTTGGGAGTATTTTTGATTTTTCTACTTTTTGTTGAAAAAAAGGAATTTGTACTCTGTGCATTGGATGGACTTGTTTGGTACTTGGGATTTTCCTCTCTTAACAATCAACATCAGTGTTGTAAATTTGTTAAACTGATACACTTCTAGCAGCAGACTTGGAACTGCAATCCTGCTAATGGTGGACACTGGGACTTAGGATGAGCATGTATGCCACGCTACAAACCAAGCCTTTGCCCAGGATTTAAGGATTCCAATGGACAACATATTTGCACAGTACTGCATGTTGATTATCACTGCCTTTACTTCTTCTTTCTTTTTTTTTTTTCTTCCAGTTGGATTGGGATGGGGAAGGCCTTTGTGTGTGTATATTCGGGGGAGGGGTTAAAATAATTATCCCAAACTTTTTAATGTATTGCCTTTTTTTTTCCCCTTTCTACTATACTGTTTTAAGTTCTGACCTCAGGCCTCCATTTGGGCCCATGGCCTCTTGGAGGCTTAAAGTTTTCTGTACCTTGTGATGAATGTTAATAGGTGTTTTTATTATACAAAGCTGAATGTCATTTCTTGTTTGTAGTTTTCTGTCACTCATTCCATTTTCCTTCAGACATCACTATGTTTTCTCTAAAGTCAGAAAACATTCCGTTTTGGTCTTTTTCAAAAAGGTCCCAAATGCTGCACTCTACTCATGACATCCTCTCACACAGATGTGAAGTCCTGCCAGAAAGAGAATGACTGACAGAAAAAAGAGACACGCTCTGGGGCAGTGCAGGTTCAGTCCGCAGCAGTATTGAGTGGGAGGTGTAAGGGGTTGTTTGCAGCAACCATTATTCTTAATAAAGGCCACACCATGTTACTAACATGAGGAAACCTAGGCAGCACCAAGGGAAAAAGACTATTATAATAAACTGACAGTGTGGCTGTGGAAGGCTCTCCTGTGGAAAACCAAGTTACGAGACACTGCCAGCTCACTATTTTTGTAACTGGTATACATTATTTTGTTTGCAAAATGGCCCAAAAGCTGACTTTACTGAGCAACTTTGCTCTGTCTTGCAGTGGCACTGAATTGAAATATCATTCTGTCCTGTTCGGTGACTTTAATCTGTTTGAATGCAAATTCCATTCCAGAATGCACTTGTTTTAGGAGTTTATGCTAAAGTATTAATATCCGTTGTGCAGGTTATACACCACAATTAAGTTTGTTATGCAATATTGTCACACCAATTTGTATCAGAAGCTAACAGTAGAAGACGTTGAGTGAGCTGCAGCTCATGTCAGCCCTGGGCTTATTGGGAAATCAACAGTGGTATTCAGAATGGGATGGTTGTGGACCGGCACAAACCACCTCTGTCCCCAGGGATTGTGCTTCCCTCTAGACCAGGTTCCTGTCATTAATTTATCTAGGGTTGGGAACTTTCATTTTTGTTTTAGTTTGAAAGCTTCTTAGAAGCTTAATTTATATTCTTTGTATCTTTTTCCCTAAAATTACCAAAGATATTACACAAAGGTATATTATGTTCTGTTTTATGCTTTATCTGATGAAGCCAAATACCTCTTATTGTTGATCAAAAGAGGTGAAAGAATTTATAGACAAGTGACAAGATGTAGACTCTTGTTACCTTGACAGAGAACAGCTCCTTCGTCAGAGTAAACATAGACAACCAAGTAGGGGATGGAACCAAAGTTCTTACTTTTTTTTTTCTTCTTGTTGATTTTCCCCCTGTACCTCTACATAGACCAAAACGCATTCTTTGAAAGAGTAACTATTAGAATGTTGAAGATAAAAATAGGACACAGTATTAAGAGTTAAAGAGGGAAGAGAGACCTGTCTCAAAGAATACTATCAATGTGTGTGCCCCCCCCAAAAAAATGAGGGAATCCTCTAAAGGAAACAGAATTCAGAATAGAAAAGCTTCCACAATTGAACTAGGTCACCTAATAGTGTTTGTAGATTAAAAGTTTTTTTAGCAAGATAGTGTGTCGTATGTCTAAGGAGTGTGCTGTAACCACTGCCTTAATTTCAGTTCGTCTTGGCATATAGCTGCTAGATTTTGCTTTTCTTTCTATTTTTTCCCTTTCCTTCCTTTTTCCTGATTGGGCCATAGTTAGCATTTTTTTTTTGTTGTTGTTGTTAAAAAAAAGAAAAAAGAAACACTCCTGTCTAGTCATAAGCTTGGTACAAAAACTACTTCATCAGTTACTTTTGAAGCTCCAGTCTCTTTTCTGTATAAAGGGTAGTCTGTGGTCACTCACGACTCCTCCTCTCCCCGCCCACTGTCCAGGCAGCTTTATGATGTGCAGGCAGTAGCCCACCAGGGTCATCAGAAGGGGGCCCTGTGCTTCTAAACTGAGTGGTTGCTGGTTAGTTTGGTATTCAACAGAGGATAAAAATCTGGTAGATTAGTTCATTCTCAGCATGTGTAGCTAGACATGAGTAAAGGTAACAGCATGAGAAACTGTTAGTACGCATACCTCAGTTCAAACCTTTTGGGAATGATTAAAAATTTAAAAAAATTACATTTCATTCAGTCCCACTTAGTCGTATGTCTTGCATGCTTAGTCTAAAGACTGTAGCAGAAAAAAAGAAGAAAATTAGATTTTCTGTATCTGCAGGTGTCTTAGCCTTGCAGAGGAACCAACAGAGAGAGAAAGGAAGGAAGGAAAAGAGTTCTCGGGCTTTACAGCAAGCAAATTTCACTCTAATTTTTGCAATTCTTATTCTGTATCCCCTCGGGCATTCCAGTCGCTCCTTTAGGATGGGGTTATTATGTTGTACATATATCCCAATGTGTCTGTGTGGATCTTTGTCTTTTTGGGGGGAGGGCAGAGGGCAGTTCTTTTTTTAGATACTGTTCCTAAAAAGGAATAAATGCATACACTTGTTTGTCAAAACACTTTTGCTTTTTGTGCAACTGCTTTATATTAATGCTACTTTTAAAAAAATAGCTTTGGAAAAAAATTCTGTGTGTAACAGAATTGCAGAATATGCTGCATATGTACTTTACTTCCTTTTAATTGCTTTAAGACTATTGGGTGGCATTTCTTGACTTATGGGAGAGAGAAACTCCCTAACATTTTTTTAAATTGTAACATAGTTGACATTTTAGTCTGTTTTCATTGATGAGATCATTTTGTATAGGTTTGTTTGGTGTGTGTGTGGGGGAATGTGTGTGAAGAAGAGAGAAAATGTGTATGTGAAGCTTTTTAAAAAAAGATAAATTCCTACTCCTGCTTTCCGTACAATCTTGAACAAGTTTATAGATTTAAAAACAAGAAAAAAAGGTTTTCTGCACTGAAGTATTTTGCATGATGAAATTCCAGGGTCACACTTTTAAAGTGTATCGGTGAAAAAGGGATTAATAATGGCAGGAATGTCAAAACTGTTGAATTATTTCCTTAGAAAACTAAGGAAAAAGGTAAATGTAAGAATATGAAGTGTCAAGATACAACAGATAATTGGTTACTTTTAAAAAAAAATTTAAACTGTACATTAAGAAAGCAATCCCATACAGATCCATTCATTTGATGTGCTAAGAGGATTGAAGATCGATCTGGTCTGTGTGTCATGTAAGAGGAGACAGCTGCTTCACCTGACCAGCTGTGAAAGGACATCTCAAGGTTTCAGAACACTAACCCAGTCCTGTCACCTTGGGATAACTCTTAACATTATTTCTACGTTCTATCCAACCTAGTAAAGAATGTCACCTAAAATATGATGCAAATCACTAGCCATTTCCACCTCCTACAAAAAAAAAAAAAAAAGTAAAAACCATACACACACAAAGATTAGATCTCTCCTCTTCATGTTCTATCTGAGCTCCATTCCAGAGAGGCACAAAAAAGATTGTGCTTGGGAGCATTTGGAATCTGGATGCCTTCGGGGTAATGGCAAACCATTCTGATGGGATGTTTTAAAAACCAGTTTTGCTTTTTTATCTTGAGAGTCAGCTTCAACACTCTTAAGGCATCCTAGGGGCCAAATGTGGTTCACACAGCTCTACCACTCATAAGCCTTCATGAAAATGGTAGAGTCTTGATTGAGCATGGTGTTTCATGTATATGTGCTGCCAGTAACAAGGAGTTTTTGTTTTGTTTCTTTTTGTTTTGATAAGGCATCAAAGAAATTCTTTGACGTCAACTGTAACTCCGTAACTGTGGATACAGAAAATAAAAAAATGTTGTATAGTCGGTACTAATTACTGACATGATTGCATTCTCAAATGCAATGAAAAGTCTGGCTTACACTGGTAGTATTAGTCGCCTTAGCCTAAGTTTCTTTTTCCCTTCTGACCTGATGATAATTGTATATGAGGCATATGTATCTGCTTTATCACCAGCTGCTTCCAACAAAGAATTAAAATCAATCTTAACTAAAAGCTCTTATCCAGACAGAGGGCTGAGGCCTTTAGCCTCAGAAATTAAATGTGTGAGTATCCACTTAGAGAACCAGAAGGGTGAAAACCGAAGAACCTGCACATTTTCTCACAGGGAAGCACATCCTTATTTTTCTTCATCAAATTTTTTGAAGAAAAACAAAATGTTTAATAACTAGCATTAAGAGCAAACTAAAGTTTCAGAGGAAAGCAATTTCATGAATAATTCAAATTTCACATCTGCAAGATTAGTCATCCAAATAAAATGCTAATGTAAAAAACATGCACTGTCTATAATATTCTCATCAAGAAATCTTTTTTGCATATTAGAACAAATGGTTTTATAAAAATATTCTATCAAAATTACCCTAGGTAACTATATTCAATGGTGGGAAAAAGTAGAATCTGAATAATCCATAAAAACCATTCTGATTTTCAGATTTTTATTAATTGTATGCCTATAGAAGAATTCTTTTTTGTTTTCCTTTGAACTATATTGTATATATACTAAAGATTAATGAATTGGGACATTGTCTTTCCATAAAAATTAAATTGGCAGGATATTGAAAGCAGCAGCTGGTGGTCAGACAGTGGTAGTATAGAACACTTAGGTATGTCATTCGGGGTACATACCACAACGAAGAAATGACTTAACCTTGCAGTTTTCATACAGTGAAACACCCATCCATTCTGGGGAAAAGATACACACTCTCCCCACTTTACTTTTTGGTATTTTTATTTTTAATTAGTAAGATGAGTTTTCTTTTTTATTGATATATTTCCATTCATTCATTGTTTCACATTTTCCTCCAGCCCCCTCACAGTTTGCTTTTTTCTTTGGAAAAAAATTCTTCCATTATTATACAGTCTCCTACCCCAGATCACTTTACTATGCTGCTCTTTTTCTGGACTCATCATACCAATAATACCTAACCATATATTCCTTTTATACAGTTCTCTCCCTCTTCTGTTTCAATGCCATGTACATTATTTATCACCTCTTTTCTTAGTTTTCCCCCCAGCCTCCCTGTCAGTGGCATTATACAGTATTTGTCTTTTTGTGTCTGAGATATTTCACTCAGCATAATGTTCTCCATGGTCACCCATTTTGTATAATATTTCATGAGTTCTTTGTTTTTCAGTGCTGCATAATATTCCATTATGTGAATATACCACAGCTTCTCTACCCATTCGTTTGTTGATGGGCACTTGGGTTGTTTCCAACTCTTAGCTATTGTGAACAAAGCAGTAAACATGGGTGTGCATATATCTGTTTGGATGGCAATTCTGGTTTCTTTAGGGTATATTCCCAGTAGTGGAATTGCTGGGTCAAATGGTATTTCTACTTAAAACTTTTTGAGAAAGCACCATATTGCCTTCCATAGTGTTTGCACCATTTTACACTCTCACCAACAGTGAATAAGAGTTCTAGGTTCTCT